TTAAATTGGTCACACAGCAGACAGGCCTGTGAACCCAGGCTGTGGGGACTCCACGCCCAGCCCCATTTCTAGCACACAACCACAGCCTTCTTGGGTTTATTTAAAATGTATGCAAAGCAGATGTTTATACCATGCTGCTGACTGACTGGCATGATGCAAAAATGCCAACTAAACAGAAGGTAGGCCTCTGTATTACAGCAAAACGGGATTTGACAAACGCTAAGAACTCTCTTTCTCCCCGCTGGGAACGAAAAAAATTCTCAAGGGGCCCTTATCACGTAGTACAGCCATGTTTCCATTGTGCCTTCTTTCTGTGTTTAACACAGACGTTTACCCCAGTTCCACTGGTGCATATGATGTGGGGGTCTATTTCAAGTATGCGCGTGCATGCATGCACGTGTGCGTGCATCCAGACGTGTGTCCACACGCACATGCGCACGGATGTGAAGGCTTGAATCCCATTCATGTCCTTCAGAATAATTCTTTGCAGTGCTGTATGTCAACTCTTCCAACATCGTTTCCTGTGGATGCTCACTAAATGGAATGTTTTCTCTGAACGGGCCAAGAGCGGTAGTTCTTGGAGCCGTTGCTCTTTTCTGAGATGCACGGTTTCCGGGATAATTTGAGCTCCTCGTTGCCCAAAGACAGAGGAGAAACAGGAATAAATGCCTTCTGGGTTCCTTCCAACATTACAGTTCTATGAATTTTACCTAATTAAATCAATTAAAGTTGGTAGCAGATTTGAAGACTTTGGATAATTATCATTTTCCCCCAGCCCCACCCCTACAGTAGTTTTTTTGAGAAACCCAATACTCTACAATTGATTACTGATTTGAAATCACTCTTCGGCTAGACCAGGAGTGCCTCAAGGACGGAGATGGAGCTGTCTTCCTCCATGTGTCCTCAGAACACAGCCAAGGGCTTGCTTGGCACGTGGTACATTAATAGACAGAGGAAGAGGGAATGTAGGAGAGAAGAGTCAACGTGTGAAGCTACCTCAGAAGGATGTCCTTGGTTTAAACAGCAAGTGGAAGGGGGTATTAGGTATATGAGCTTGTATTCTGTGTAGCTTTAGTGTTTGGGTTGGTTTGTGTGGTTTTGGGGTGTCATTATTGTAGTTTGAGGGAAAGTATAGAGAACAGTCATTTCTTATTCAACAATTTATATACATTTTGTTTTGTGACACTGGCTGTAATTTTCTCCAAGGGTCAGTACTCTGAGTTTCCCATTTCCCTTCAACCTTCTTTCCTGTCTCTCCCTATCTTCTGAGCTTTGTGTATAGAAAAATGCTGCACTTTCAAGCTTGACACATTTGCTTGTACCGGGAAGGCATTTCTTCTTCAGGTCATTATTCACTTTGAGATGTGTCTATTGTGTGGCCAAAATGGATCCCTGAGGTGGGTCCAGTTCTAGGCTAAGGGGGGTCTAAAGGCCACAGATTTGGGGTGCAGATTTTGAATGTCATATCCAAAAAGTGGCTTTTCCAAATCACTACCCAATCTATCCTGAAAAAAATCATTCCTCCTCTAGCACCCAAAATATGTTTCATTGTCACTTCCTGTTAAGTCCATTCTTACTTATGACACCCATGTGTGCAGAGTAGAAATTTAGATAATGATGGTTTTTGAGTTGTCAAAAATTTCATTTTATTTGAATCTACAATCAACACACTATGGAGGCAGTAGTCAAGAAGTTAAAGGACAATGGGTAAATCTACTGCCAAGGAACTCTTGAATGTGCTAAAGAGCAAGGATGCCACCTTAAAGACTAAGGTGCACCTGGCAAAAGGGATGATGTTTACTGTTGTGTATGCTGTTAAATTGGAACTAACTCATAGCTGACCCTCCAGTGGATTATCAGAGGCAGTAAATCACACAGGAGGAGACTGCCCATCCTCTTGCAAAGCAGCTGCTAGATATGAACCATGTGTTTTTGGGATTATAGTGCAGCTTCTTGCCACTGGGCCATATACAGTGAAAGTTGGATAAAGAATAAGGAAGACTGGTGCAAAACTTACGTTCCTAACTGTGGTGTTGGGAGAGAATGCTGAAATACACCATGTTGTTGTTATGTACCATTGAGTTGGAACCAACTCATAGCTGACCCTCCAGTGGATTTTCAGAGGCAGTAAATCACACGTGAGGAGACTGCTCTTCTTTCTTTTGTGAAGCAGTGGATCCAAACTATGTGCCTTTGGGTTGGCAGCTTAACTCCTTACCACATGTAGAGGAGGGCATGGCTATTTTGTGAATTCATGCAGGGAGGACAAAGATAGTAATAGAAATAGTTCACTGGTACAGAAGTGGATCAGCACAGGGCAACTGTGTGTGCAAAACCTTGCTTTGTACCATCCCTATCTCCTTGACTTGTAGTCATTTAGCCCCAGGTGAATCTTTCCTGATTAGCCCCACAAATACCTTCTCCTAAAGACAGATGAGAGCATTAACCTCTGGGTCAGACTTCTCAGGTAGCAATGTTCATTGTGTGGTGGACTTGGGGAAAATCACAAAACCTTTACAAGGTTAGTTTACAAGTTTACCTTACAAGTTACCTCAGTTTACCTTTACAAGTCTTAGTTTCCTCATCTGTAAAATGGGATTGCTTTTAGTAGCTATCATGCCTGAATTGCTTTTCCATGTGGGGCATGTTGCTCACCATTGTCTGTTTCTCATCGAAGCTTCCCCATCCCATCTCCTTTAATGGGCTGGCACTAAAAGTATCTCAATTTACAAATAAGGAAAACACAGACCCAGAAGTAGAATGAATCAGGTTCACTTGACCTCAAGATCCTTTGCACTGCATGGCCACACTGTACTATTGCCGATGATTATATTGCATCAAGTTATAAGAATTAACTTTCTGTATAAATACTGACTAGTGCAGGACCCACCACAGAATATGTGCTTAATCAATGCACCAAACCCAAATCGGACTCACTGCCCACCAGGGAATTCGGGACTCATAATGACCCTATCAATTCAAATTCAAGCTCAAGCTCATTGCCACAGAATCGGGACCAACCAATAGCTGCCTCCCCAGAGAGTTTCAGAGACTGGAAGTCACACTGTAGAGGACTGCCTATCTTTATTCAGCGGGGACTAGAACTGCCAGAGAGGAATCATCATTGGGTCAGTGTCACATTGCCTCATAGAGTTTCCTAGTTTGTAAACTTTAGACAAGCCATATATCACACAGTAAACAGCAACAGGTATTTAAGACTTTATAGTGACTCATATCAGGGAGTTCTGGTGGCCTAGTACTGCACTGCAATCCCGAAGGAACACAGTTTGGATCTACCAGCTGCTCCACAGGAGAAGGATGGGCAATCCTCTCCTGTGCGATTAAACTGCCTCTGAAAATCCACTGGAGCTCTGACTCGATGGTACACAACAACAACAGTGACT